GCTTCAATCTTTGGCTATGTCTTGGGCTACTCAAATATTTTACGTTTTTGATACTAAATTAACATCTGAAGTATCATTTTTTATTATTTTTATTTTTTTCAATATATTTATTTTGTTTGTAAAAAATAAAGAAATAATTTTTAACGATACGATAGCCACGATTATTATTTTAAAAATTATACGTTAGGCTTAACATCGACGAAAATTCAACGCGAAGCGACACGCAACGGAGAAAAATTTCAACACGGGACAGGTTAATATATTTTTTAGTACGTAATCGGTTATCCGAACAACCTCAGTCCCCAATTGATTCGGATAAACGGCGCTCTACTGTATGTATATATTAGTAATATATACTGTATATGATGTATTTTAGTGTGTTTTTATTACAACCTTGGACTTGTCAGTCTTTCCAAAATAGTAGTACTAAGCCAGCCAACAGTTTTATATTGTTTTCTCAATACAATTCTAATTTAAATTTTACCACAAAACTCTTGGACTCACGACTGCTTCATGCTGTTTTGATTTTTCTGTATTATGTAAATATTAGTTGTATATACTAGTGGTGTTTAATTTGTCTGCTAGAATTATTACTTTATGAAATTGTGGCAATACCTTTTTGGGTAGAAAAATTCAGTGTGTATGTATGTATGTATGTTGGAGTCTGTTATGTTGACAGTGAGGACTCCCTCTTTGTGAGGAAGAGTCAATGTTGCTATGAGAGATTTTTATATTATCATTTTATTATTATTATTAATAATAAACATTTTAGACATTAAATAAAGAATCGAGATAATATTATGGTTGCTGAATATTTACATTTATTAGTTTATGAAATTAAAGACATAAGTATCTTCATTTAAAAATTAAATGTAAATATTAGTAATGATATATTGATTAAATCATATATGTAGGATTTTCCAAAAAGAATTTGCCATTTTAAATTATTACTCGAGAAGTACGCGATGCTCATCGATCGATAAAGTAACCGTCCCAATTTCATCTCTCATCCGCATTCAAACCTCTAGAAGATGCTTTAAATGCTCCACAACAGAGAAGGCGTTGTGTGTTCTGCAGTTTACAAAGCCATATTCACCCATCATTGCGCAACACGAGTACTCTGCAGGAGCTATAGAACTGTGCCTGCTAAGGAGGAATGACAGTGAATATGCCGAAGTGAGTGTAGGAAGAATTCCAGTATCGGTCAGATGTGGGTTGAGTGACACGAGGTGCAAACATTGAGAAAGTGTAATGGGCAAATGTGGAACTTGGACAGTTTTCCAATGTTTTAATGCACATTACAATATTCTCAGATGATAATTAACATAATTATAATAATTTAAAATGGTAGCATCTTTTTGGAAGACCTTTTATTTATTTTATTATTTATATATAAATATTCAAACTGAAAATAGTTTTGAAAAATTATTTATAACGAATATTTGTACCAGTAATAATGTGTCTTAGTATTTAAAATTAAAAAAATTTATTGAATATTTTAGAATATTTTTTTTACAGCTAAAAGAAAAGGAACATCTACAAACGAAACAAACGTGGAACAGAAACAATGGAAAAGAAAAATGAACAAGTTAAAAAATAATAAATCTGCAAAAAGAATAAAGCTTAATAATAATAATAACAATTCTATTGCATTTCCTACAAATACCGACGAAAAAAAGATGGAAAGTAATAAGCCAATATACAACAAAGACAAAAAAATGGTTTTTAGCAAATTTGATTTTCCAGAAACTGAGAAAAAAGCATCTAAACATTCGGGTAAAAATTATAAAAAGCTGCTGAAAAAGACACTGAAAGAAAAAGAAGAGTTGAAAACAATGGAAATTAATGATCCAGAAAAGGCATTTGTTCAAAAAGAAAAAAAGAATTGGTTGAAAGCCATTGACAAAGCGGAAGGAATAAAAGTAAAAGATAATCCCGAATTATTGAAGAAATCGATCAAGAAACAGGAACAGATGAAAAGGAAGAGCCAGAAAAAATGGAAGGAAAGAAAAGAAACAGTTGAAAAATTCAAACAAAAGAAAGAACAGAAACGTCGGGAGAACATCAAAGCAAAAAAACAGGAGAAAATTAATAAAAAAATCAAAAGAGCAAAAAAGAAAGGAAGGATATTGCCTGGATTTTGATTTTTGTATAATACGCAAAAGAACTATTAAAGTATATTTTATATATAATACTTTGATAACGTTTATATTATTTCGATTAAACATCGTTTTGAATACAACATTTTAATTATAGTGAAATGGATTCTGAAAATTAAGCAGATTTGTGTAAAATTATTTGTTGTTTAAATGGGATTTTTGAAATCTTCATTCCATAATAATGCAAATGACAAAAATATGATTTTTATTCTCATTCTAATGCAAAGTAACAATATTTTGCGTTAATTTTTATAAGTGCTCGATCCATACAAAATTTAATATAGTACAGAAATTAAATTCTGTACAAATATTACAGATAAGTTTTACGGAGCTAGTTTAACAACTAGTTGAGTTGTAGAACTGTATTTCGGTAGTACGACCGACAGCGTATGAGCGCTAGGAAACACTTGGAACGATGATTACCAGCGGCGTACCCAGGATCTTAGAGGCGAGCAACTTATATTAGTTTCGAGGAAGGGGGAGAGATTTCACGACAGACGGATCTAATCAAAATCATTATTCAAACTGATAATAAATCGAAACGTCTGCGCTGAGTTTGCGTATCAATTACTACACTAATTTTTCTTCTAGGGAGGAGGAGCTGCTCTTCGCTGGGTACGCGCTTGATTACCATTAAAATATAATTACATTAGTGTTTTTCATACAAAGCAATGACTAAAAAGCTCGATTTTTGAATTTAACGTAAGTTTAGAAACTACAATGCAATTTGGAATCCTGCCGTTAGCTACAGTAGTTTGATAATCCGAAACTTGCTACTCTGCCGCTAAGTCAGACACGACTAGTTTCCACTAAATTTGAACATTTCCCACTAAAGACGCCATATCGAACTCGAGCTTAACCACCATTGAAGATTGTTCGGTTGGTTTTAGACTGCTGAAAAAAGGGTACAGTGTTAAAACACGACGCTATATAGAAAAATACAGCAGTGAGTTACTTAACTTTTTCGGCAAATTTGGTGGCGCCATCTGTTATGATATTTTAAAAGCTTTTTATATTTTAATTAATATTACTATAAAATGGCTTAATTTTGAGGGTGGGGATGGGTTTTATAAAAAAAAAATGATGAATGCTAATAACGAGTGAAATCATTAAGTCCGACCATACTGGAGTCTTTATCTACACGACCCTCTTTATCTTCCCACTTCGTAGATATATAATTACCAAAATTTAATAACATTAATCTTATTATAAAAATCCCCGTGCAAAATTTTAGAAATTTTCGACGAAAAGCACAGGAATTACTAAATTTCAAAGAGGGTGGACAAAATTGTGCTCTTCCACACGAAAACATGCATACACAGAAAAAAAAATCCGAACTTTTTGCATTTATCGACGTTTCGAGGTCCCTGAATCCAAAAATTTAAAAATCTCGGATGTCGTTTTGATCGATCTCCATATTTTCCTCTGTTATATACAACAGAGCCGGAAAAGTAATACCGGATTTATAAACCTCAATTTATGCAACAAAGAGCAAGAACGGAAAATTTAAGGAATTTTTACACAAATCAACATTTATTGGATAAAGATTTAGGATAACGCAGTTATAAAAATGTTAAAACTTGCGTAACAAAAGAGCATTGTTTTTTCATTATATTTTCGGCGTAGAATCTACGAAATCGATTAAATATCGAAAGTCTGAGCAATTTCATTCGAAGTGTTCCCCCATTTCTTGTCGTAATCTTCGCGGACATGTTCTATCAGCACCCCGCATCTTTTAACATCGTTTATCGCAGTACTGAAACTTGTCTTGTGTTTCCAGTTTGAGTTTCCTGGGATCTTCGCGAGGAATATTTTTTCTCAAATTCTTTTCCAAATATTCGGTGGCCATTTCCAAGTCGTTCCGATTGTCTAAATATTTCGCTTTGGTTATAATAAATCACTTCGAGTAGTAAGCGAAAACGTACGTGTACATCAAAGTGCAGCGGCGACACTTCTTTTAGGAATCGCATTTCTATATTTCCTTTCTTTCTTCTATTTTATCGACGACCGAGTCGTATAATTTCTGTTCCAATTTGAAGCTCTGCTTGTGATTGCTGTAACGATTGTAATAAAAGAGACATCTCTTCGAGCCTTTTGAGATTTCTCTAAAGCGTTCTTTGTCGTTTTTACCGCTTCGTCGTCGTAACGACTGCATTTGTACCGGGATGAACCG